GGCGTTCCCATTAGCACGACCATACATGAAATGCATGTCTGTTAATTCTGCGTTAGAGTAACCAGCCATAGCGAAAGAAAACTTGTGCACTGAGAACAACTGTCAAATACGTACTGTTTATTTCACTAAACATCAACCAACTATTATAAGAAAATACACAACGTTTTTGCAAAATAAAAAAAGGGGCTAAAAAACATAAAACATTCCATATCTCCGCAACCGTTACTTTGCGGACCCATGTTTATTAAGACTTTTCTGCTTATTTTGGTTCATACGATTACCTCCTTAAATATTTTACACTCTATTTTAACTCCCTGTATACATATTTGAAAAAAACTTCGTATTATGATGCTCTATATTGTTTCTTGTAACATATTTTCTTACATTTTTCTTTTATCATGAAAAATAAAAACCGAGAGGGGAGGGTGACACTTACAGTAGCTCACCCTGTACATCACTGGTTACTCTAGTAATTACAGTAGTTGTCATCCTTGGCCCATCAGATAAACGCTTGGTAAATATTTCTTTTAAAAATAGGTCACACTAGCAGACCAGAGAGTTGATAATGATTAACAATTTTCAAGTATTGTCTTATTAAATTGTCGTAATTTGTCGTATTAATGTTTTAAATGATTTTCTGATTATTGTCATAGCATCATTTTCAAGACTACAAAGTCAATATGCTACTGCATGGGATTGTATGCAACGAATTGTAATATATTACCACCAAAGTGGTCTTCTTTACCCTTTATGTCATAGTCATCTACTTATTTGTTTTGATATATAATCAATAAAAATTAAACTACAGCTTCCTAACGATATTTGTAATAGAAAAGTCGTAAACGAAAAAGTTCCATTTTTGCGTTTTTTTTTTCGTAAGTTAAAGTTCAATTATGGATCAAAATATTTTAAGCATCTGTCAATCAGCCAACTGCGTGCACTAAACAAACTCCATTAAAATATGAAACAAAATGCAATAAAACTTACCATTTCTAGAGAAAATGTTGATATTGGTCTCCATTAGCGCGTGGCACCGATGCACTCAATTTTGGCGAATATTTTCCCAAATTCCAGTTATTCCCCTAATTGTGTCAACAGCTTCAAGTATACGGTTTCGCAATTCTTCCACCGTAGCAATTGAACCAATGACTTCAAGTGACTCCAAAGATAAAAGTCCATTGGAGTTAGATCGGGTGACCGAGGTGGACACAGCACAGGACCAAAGCGTCCAATCCATCGCTGAGGAAACATTTCATTCAAATGTGTTGTTACTTCTAGAATACTTCAGGCAACCGGTCTAAAAAGTCCGCATATGTTGATTCATTTAGTCGTCTTTCAAAGAAATAGAGACCCACTAGTACATAGGCTACTATGTCAGCCCAAACATTTACCGAGAACCGATGTTAAAAATTAGTTTTCTCAATCCTGTGAGGATTTTCATCGACCCATATGTGCATATTATGGAAATTCACTTCATCAAGAGTAAATGCTGCCTCATCTGTTACACAAACATAAGCAGGAAAGTCTATTTGATGGGCACATTGCCGTAAATCTGTAAAAACGCATTCGTTGATCACAATCCGGGGGTAAAATTTGTTGAACTGGTTGCAGATGATAGGAATGCAATAGCTGGCGCCTTAAAACGCGATATACGGTACGAGATGAGGTTCCAACTTGCTGTGCGAGTCGTCGAGTACTAATTGTGGGGTCTTCGTCAAGATTTTCCAACACTGCCTCTTCAACATTAAGCTTCACTTGCTGACCACGTCCCTCTCCTCGAGGAATAACACTTCCCGTATCTCGCAGCCGCTGAACGCACTGTAGGATTGTATTTGCACATGGGGGTGACGTTGTGGCCATCGTTCCCGGTACAACCTAGTCGCCGCGAGTGCATTTTCTCCGGCTGCACCATACACTAACACCATATCGACACGTTCGGAAATAGTAAATGCATTGTTTTCTCGGGTCATTGTAAAACTAGTTTGGTCACAAACTAAAAAATTAAGCAGAGTAAGAAATAAGAATCTCGTTCTTAATGGAATCGGCACGCTATTCTTATTTTTTACTTCTTTATAAAAATTACACTGTCATTATCGTGGAATTACGAAAATAAAAACTTTTGTCTGGAATCTTTCACTTTTTAACACTGATGGGTCGATGGACGATGCTTAATATTTAATAATTAAGTGAATAATGAATTCAATACAAATACAAAATCAGTTGACTACACAAATTTTTTGACAATGTAACTTAACCGTTTTTTAGTATTACTAGTATTAGATTAGACCGACTTAAATTATAAGGTTGCATCTCGGGTCGTTATTTATTAAAAACATTTCCAATGTTTTTAATAAATAAAACAGGGTTGGCCTTCATTTTCGTTGAATAAATGAACTTTAATTTACAAAAAAAAAAAAACGCGAAGATACATCTTTTTCGTATAAGACTTTTCTATTAAATATCATCAGGAAGCTGTAGTTTAATTATTATAGATTATACACGCCACACCCTGTATATTTTAAAACATACCTACCTATACGTTTTTCCTTGTTAAATGGTTTGCTATACTTTTGTGCGCTTATTTTAAATTAATTGCAGTTGTTAATTGTCATTTTGTTGGTCATAAATACTGGTCATTCGTTTTTTTCGATAACTTGAGGTCATAAAATTATAGCGACATCAAAAAACAAGTTACATATTACCCCAGTTCGCGCTTTATAAATAAGTTTGGTGAAGAGAAGATCAAAACATGTATCAGATCAGAGATCTTTTTAAATTAGAATTACGTTTCTCATAATTTTAACTTAATTGGACTTCGAAAGTTTAAACGTCTACCCACAATATGGTAATTTGACTCACCAGTAAATTTGCACTGGTTATTTTGTTATGTGTAGTAAAAATTTATAATTATTTCAATTAATGAATATTAATCATATTATATTAAAATAGAACCAAGATTCATATAACTTTAACTGCGCTTCAATACTTACACATCATTATTTTTATTTCACTGTGATTGTTCATTAATCAGAAATACATATTGCCATAAATGTCCCACTATTTAGGGTCATTTTACCCATAAACTTCGACAATATTACAATTTATCTCGGTCTAAAATTTATTATTGTCTATTTTGTTAGTAGTAAAGATTGGTCATTATTTTCTTCGTTCAAACGCCAAAAATCCACGACATTGCTATTAATTTGTTGTCACCGCCTTTTACAGTAGGTCATAAAATTATAACAATATTAAGAATGACTTGTCATATTACCCCAATTTGCTCTTTATAAAAACCTAGATACAGGTTTTTGTAGAGACGGGTTTTCTTTATTTTTTTTTTTGAACGGTTCAACAATCAATGAGTCGAGGGTATATCTTAAAGATCTCTTTTAATTAGAACCAAGTTAACCATAATGTTAATTTCAACTGAGGTTCAATAGTTTTACTATTTTAATAGTTGTTCATAATCAAAGCTACATATTGTCATATTCCTCACTACTTATGGTCACTTTACACCAAAGCTTCGATAATATAACAATTTGAGTCAGTTGAAAATTTCTGTTATTTTTTTGTTGGTAGTAAAGATTGGTCATACATTTTTTCGTTCAAATGTCTACATTGACATTAATTCGGTATAACTACCCAACCATAGAGCTTAGGTCATAAAATTATAGCAATATTAAGAAGTTTCCTCTTTATAAATACCTGGGTATAGTTTAGTCTGGAGAAGGTTTATTTATTTTTTATTGTTTTTGTAACAGGCGAATAATCAATGAGACAAACATGCATCTCAAAGACCTTTTTAAATCAAAACCAAGTTTCTCATAATCTTTTATTTCATTGTGGTTATTCATTAATTAGAACTACATATTGCCATATTCCCCAACATCTATAGTCAGTTTACCCTCAAACTAATATGGCAATTTGATTCACTTAAAATTCCTTGTTGGTGGTAAAGCTCTTTCGTACAAATGTCTAAAACAATGGAGTTTACATCACTTCAGAAGTGCATACTGCCATATTCCCCAATACATGGGGTCATATTACCCCCAAGTCTCTATAATAAAACAATTTGGCTTACTAATCAATCTTTAATGGTTATTTTGTTGATAGTACAAAATTCTAAAAGTCTACGGTTCTGCATGAAAATTACTGAAGACTCTTTTATACATTATAGTGCCATTAAGAACAGGTTGCCATATTCCTCAAAATCTGTGGTCATATTACCCCAGGGCTTTGACATATGACAGTTTCAATTATATGTAAATTTTGGGCTAGTTAATATTATCCCAATTTATATCTCTTCAGAGCTACATACTGTCATATTTCCCAACATCTGTCATCATTTTACCCCCAAGCTCCTGTGATATGGCAATTTCACTTTAGTTGATATTTAATGATTATTTTATTGGTAGTAAAGATTGGTCATACATGATTTCTACGGTACTGTATGAAAATTAATAGAAGTTATTATATTTTACAACATAAAATTAGTCTTATTAAGAATATATTGTCATATTCCTCAAAATCTGTAGACATATTACCCCCAAGCTTTGTTAATATGACATTTTCGGTCATTAGTGTGATTCTGCATTCTTTCATTAGATATTACCCAATCCCCTCCCCATTTTAAGTCATAAAATAATAGCCATATAAGAATAAGACGCCATATTACCCCATTTTACTATTTGCAAGTGCCAGGTACAGTTTGATACAAAGAATGTCTATTTCTTCTTGGTTTTTTACACTGTTCGAATTTTCGAGCGTGCGAGTTTCCCATAATCTTAACTTCCGACCAATTTAAGCTGTTGCCGGCTAACAAAAGTTGCAAATACCCCAGATTGCAACGCGGCAATAGTTTTATGTCCTTTTATTGTTGGCAAATATTAGTTTAGCATTCAGTGTACATCTCTCCATATTGCGTACACTAATTGCCTTTTTATACACAACGTGCGGCTAGAATTTCGAGGTTCCCATTCAGTGTGCTGGGATGTCTGGCCGGTGAGAAGAGTCCTCGAGATGAGCTTTCGCAGTACCCTCAGCGTCGGGAACTTCTACGACTCCCGCTACTCTCCAGTGCAGGTATTTCGAATGTTTTTTGTTCCGTTCTCGCGAACGACGGCGACGGTTGGTTCTTGGTTTTCCAAGGCGTCTTTATGAGGGTTTAGATTCGATTTCGTTACTTGGTAATTTTTCTTAACGGTACCACTCTGGACTTAAAATTTTCAGCGCTTTTCGGCAATGTTCGCTTGTCAGCGTAGAAAAATTTAGATTTTAATTTTCAGGACGTTAAAAAATGTAAAATAGCGAGATGGCACTATTTTTAATTTCACACTGTCTATGTTAAAGAATCGTTTGCACTTAAAACATACTATAAAATTTCAAATTGCACTTTTATTTTTAGTGAAATGTCATCAATGTTATTTTTTCAATAATTCAACGTGGTTTCCAAATCAGCACTTTTTTTAACGGTACTACTTTGGATTGTGTAAACATTTTTCAGTGATGTTTGTTTGTTAACATAAAAAAAAATAGATTCTTCCTTCAGGATGTCCAAAAAATATAAAATAGTTCAACAGTGAGATGGACTTATTTTTAATTTCACACAATCTATATCAAAGAATTATTTGCACTTATATAACATAGTAGATAATTTCAAATTGAATTTTTATGTTAATAATTCTATTTTTAATAATAAATATTAGTGATGCTCGTTTGTTAGAATAGAAAAATTTAGATTTTGAGCTTCAGGATGTTCAAAAAATATAATATAGTTGAGGAGCGAGATCGTCTTATTTTTAATTTCACACTGTCTATGTCAAAGAATTGTTTGCACTAAAAACATACTATAACATTTCAAATTGCATTTTTATTTTTAGTGAAATATTAACAACATTGTCTTCAATTTTATTTCCAATAATTCTACGTTGTTTTCAAAATCAGTACTTTTTTTAACGGTACCTACTACTTTGGATTAAAAATTTACAGCATTTTTCAGCGATGTTTGTTTGTTAATATAAAAAATTGACCTATAGAAAAATTTATATTTTGACATTCAGGATGTTCAAAAAATATAATATAGTTGAGGAGCGAGATGGCCTTATTTTTAATTTCACACAATCTATATCAATGAATTGTTTGCACTTAAAACAAAGTAGATCATTTCAAATTAGACTTTTATGTTAATAATTTCATTTTTAATAATAAATATTGGTACTGTTCGTTTGTTAGAATAGAAAAATTTAGATTTTGGGATTCAGGATGTCCAAAAAAACGTGAAATAGTTAAACAGTGAAATGGCCTTATTTTTAATTTCACACAATCTATATCAAAGAATTGTTTTCATTTAAAACATAGTTGATAATATCAAATTGAATTTTTTGTTAATAATTCTATTTTTAATAATAAAATATTGGTGATGTTTGTTTGTTAGAATAGAAAAATTTATATTTTGACATTCAGGATGTTCAAAAAATATAATATAGTTGAGGAGCGAGATGGCCTTATTTTTAATTTCACACAATCTATATCAAAGAATTGTTTGCGCTTAAAACAAAGTAGATAATTGCAAATTGGACTTTCATGTTAATAATTCTATTTTTAAAATAAAATATTGCTGATGTTCGTTTATTAGAATAGAAAAGTTTACATTTTGACCTTCAGTATGTTAAAAAAATATAATATAGTTGAGGAGCGAGATCGCCTTATTTTTAATTTCACACAATCTATATCAATGAATTGTTTGCACTTAAAACAAAGTAAATAATTTCAAATTTGACTTTTATATTAATAATTTTATTCTTAATAATAAATATTGGTTGTGTTAGAATAGAAAAATTCAGATTTTGACATTCAGGATGTTCAAAAAATGTAATATAGTTGAGGAACGAGATGGCCTTATTTTTAATTTCACATAATCTGTATCAAAGAATTATTTACACTTATAACATAGTAGATAATTTCAAATTGGACTTTTATATTAAAAAAATTCAAATATACATACATACAGTTCTAAAATTTTTTCAAATTCTTGTAAAATTTTCTATATCATCTTTAGTGAAATATGGCAATTCTGTATTCTGTCTTATATTTTATTTTCAATAATTCTACGTTATTTCCGAATACACTTCTCGTTTCAAATATCCCTACAAATAAAAATCCATAGTGGTCAAATCTGGACTCCGAGGTGGCCAAGGGCTAAGCTATGTTATTTTCAAAAGTACACTGTAACTAATCACTAATCAGAGAAGTCAAATAAAAGGAATAGATAGATAGATAGATAGATATTTATTCTTTGAGACATAAAGAATAATGACATTTCTGTTAGAATGTTAATTTCGATATTATGTTCCCTTTCCTATTGAATTATTCAATTTTTTATTGTGCAATTAGTTTAATTTATAACTGGTAGTGACAAATTTTAAGATAAACATTACCTCATCGAATATTTCGACAATACCGTTTCCTAAAAACCGAAAATTCATGTAAATATTTATTAATTAACGAATCGGTACGAATTTTTGGTGTAATTATGATCTATTGTTCTTCGTGAAGGTTGACGACGTCACTAATTTATTGGCATTTAAGAAGTCACTGTTAACTGCTAAGTACACACTAACTGGTTAAAACATAGACAACAATTTTTTTAATGACGCCTATGAATTTTTAATGCAGCTAATTCGTGATAAATCACTGAAATCACTGAAATCTTCATGTCTATTATAAACAAATAAATTGTACTCTTTTGTTATTTATACACGTGGTCGGTATTTTTGCTGGTGCTTTAAGAAAATTCGGCTACTAGCTATTATTCTTTTTTCAGACAAGGTACAACTACACTAAATCAATCCAGCAGCTTCATTCGCAAATAAGGAAGCAGCGGGAGGAGGAATTTAGAAGAGAAAAGGAAGAAGCAAAACGTAGACAAAAAGAATTAGAAGTATATCAAGGTATGTCGTGGACATATGTTTTATAGATCGACCATTTCTTACTTTTTTTTTCAGGAAAGTATACCCGGTTATTCTGGACGGTATGGAGCAAAACGTTTTCAAAATTAGGCGACGACTGGGTCTTCCTAGCGTTTCTAGGAATTTTCGTGGCCATCATCAGTTACACGGTGGACAAGGGGATCCAAATGTGTACGACAGGTACAAATTTATTTCTACGTTTATTTTCAATTACTACTCCGAGAGATATATTTAGAGCTTTCAATTACCAAGTGGCAGAGCTAATTAATTATGAACTAATTGTACGTATGAATGTAAAAGACCACTTAAAATTCAAGCGAGCAAACACATTATGGAATCAGTACACGGATCACATGACAACTGATCACTTATTTGACACATTGCTTGATATCTGGGCATATTTCGCAATTTACAATTCAGTCGCATACTAATACCTTACATCTAATTATTTATGTGTTGCAAAAATAAAAAAATATGGTCATATTCAAAAATATTTATGACTGCAAGTATATTACGAAAATTGTTTAACTTTGTGTCCTTAAAAAAATTCAAGTTGATAATTACTTATAAAATGTTCGAGACATGCTGTTTTCTCCAGATGTTCGCAATACAAACAGTTGGTTACTTAGATTTTATTTTTACCTATTAGATTCTTATTCGACCCCATATAGACTCTTACTGTGCTTCAATTAGATTCACAATTATTCTTAGTCATATTGTATTTCGGACCTCAATTAGACATATGGTCAGATTCTTATTGCTTCTGATTAGATTCTTATTAGATTAATCAATCTGGAATACATGTTGAGAAATACGAAAAATCTTGTATTACATTACATTGTATTACATATTGTATTACATTACGCTTATATCAGATTTCTATTAGTTCCGATTAGATTCTTACTGAGATAGAATCTAGATAGATAGATTAGATTCTATTTTGAGAAATACGAATATTATTACATTAAGTTGATTCTGGTTGAATATGTATTCTTATGTGACTTTATACAGAACTGTCTGACCTCACTTTAGATTCCCATTGAAACTTAGATTCACATTGTATCCTAGATTCTTACTGTACTTTGCCAGACCTCTTTTAGATTCACATGTTAGATTCTTATCGATTCCGTATAGATTCTTATTATTAGATTCCAGATATATTCCAGTTTAGTTCCAGAATATTTAACTATTTTGAGAAATAGGAATATTACTGCAGATCAAATGTATTTCTACACAAAACTGGCTCACTTAAACTCTAGATTAGATATTATTGCCACCTAAATATATTTATATTAAAGCTTATATTCACATTTTACTTTACCGGATCCCGATTAGATTCGCATTGAGTTTAATAGAATCACGATCCCGAATAGACTATTATTAGAATATTAGATTTCTAATAGTTTCGGTTTATTTTCAGAATATTTAACTATTTTGGTAAGTAGAAATATTACAGGTCGAGTATGGTGCTAGGTATTTCACTGAGATTTTTATTACACCCCTATCAGATTCACACTTATTTATAGATTTGTATTGTACTCAGATTTTCTATTAGACTCACATTGGATCACAGTTAGATTCTTATTGATTCCGATAGATTCTTATTCTACCCCATATAGATTCTTACTGTGCCTCAATAAGATTCACAATTATTCTTAGATTCATATTGTATTTCGAATCTCGATTAGATGTAAGAGTACACCTCATGGTCAGATTCTTATTGTTCCTGATTAGATTCTTATTACACTAATGAATCTGGAATACATTTTGAGAAATACGAAGAATCTTGTATTACATTATACTTAGATTCTTATTACTTTCCAACTAAAATCAGTTTCATATTGTACCTTAACGAATTCCAATTCGTTGAAACTTAGATTAGATTCACATTGTATCCTAGATTCTTGTCGTACTGCCGGACCTCGATTAGATTCACATTAAGCACATGTTAGTTTTTTATCGATTCAGTATAGATTCTTATTATTAGATTCCAGATATATTCCAGTTTAGTTCCAGAATATTTAACTATTTTGCGAAATAGGAATATTGCTACAGATCGAATGTGCTTCTACACAAAACCGGCTCACTTAAACTCTAGATTAATATTACCACCTAAATATATTTGTATTAAAGCTTAGATTCACATTGTATCCTAGATTCTTATTGTACTTTGCCGGATCCCGATTAGATTTACATTGAGTTTAATAGATTCTTATCGATCTCGAATAGACTCTTAGTAGGAGTGTTATAGGTCGAGTATGTCGCTAGGTAGTTCACTGAGATTTTTATTGTACTCATACCCTCTATTAGACTCACATTGGAACACAGTTAGATTCTTATTGATTCCTATAGATTCTTACTGAACCACTAGATTCCACAGGAAAAAAAACCGTTACATTATATCGTTGCAGGTCGGATGTGGCTCTATACAGAGCTGGCTGAGAACATGTTCTCCAAGTGGGTAGCCTGGATCTGTTTGCCCTTCTGTTTAATCCTATGGGACGTGGGCCTCACCCACCTAGTGGCACCGCAAGCTGCAGGTATGACAACTTTTTAAAAAAATGAGAACTTATCTTAATCGTCAACCACCGCAGGTTCCGGCATACCCCAGATAAAAACCAGCCTGAGGGGCGTGTTCATGAAGGAATTTCTGACGTACAAAATCCTCATAGCGAAATGGCTGGGCATCACCGCCACCATAGGCAGCGGCATGCCTCTGGGCAAGGAAGGGCCGCTCATCCACATGTCTAGCATCATCGTGACGAAGATGAGCAACGCCCTGTCCACCTTCAACCAGGTGTTCATCAACGAGAGCAAGAAGATCGAAATGCTGGGGGCGGCCTGGGCCGTGGGGGTGGCGTGCACTTTCAACGCGCCGATTGGGGGTAAGTGGTGGAGAAATATTAGCTTGTTTATATGTACTACACAGTTGGTAACCAGTCGAACTTAGAAATTAAAGTACTAGATGGCGACGCCTCAGCAGAGCTTTTGTGACGTCATACCGTTCGACTGGGTTGACCCGACGGCTCTGTGTTATTGTCTCGAGTTATTTATTTGTAGTATAGTTTATTTTTTCCCTGCCTATGATGTTTTTTCACCGTGTTGTCATATCACATCAGACGGATTGATATTATGTAGTTCACTTAAAGTAAGTCAATGTCTCGGGTGATTGAGAGTGAGATTCACAAACTAAACACAGTACTTTAAAAAAATAGTTACACATACTTTTTATTAAAAATTTGAAATGGGTTTAAAATCTATTTCAAATCTTGCAGATTAAGTATTTTTGTTTATTTTTTATTGTCATTTCATAAAACAGCAAAAAAGTGTAGTGACAAGCGTGTACATACAACGGGAGCTGCCCGGTGGCGGCGTAGACAAATGATTCTTTTTTGTTTTAGGTGTGCTTTTCAGTGTGGAGATCACGACAGCTTACTACGCTGTTAGGAACTACTGGAGAGGTTTTTTCGCTGCGGTTTGGGGTGCTACCACCTACAGACTCCTGCTGGTTTGGATAGATGGCGTTGACACTATTAAAGTGGTGTTCCCGACTAGCTTCTTCGTGGATTTTCCGTACGATCCTTTCGAATTGATATCCTTTGCCATTTTAGGGTAAGTGAAAATTTTTAATCTAGATATAAGAACTTTCATTAAAAAAATACATTTTCTATGCAATATCTTTGTCTGCGTTTAATATAAGAGTGATTTACTTTGCTGGACTGTTTTTGCATTTTTTACAGGCCTACTTCTCATAATCTGCTATAAAAAAAATTGTAGGTGGATCAATAAACAATAATTATTGCTAATAAAAAGATATTAGCTTACCATGTAATAAAGGCTTTATATACCAAATGTTATCTTCGATAATAAAATAATTATACAATTACAATAACACAGCATTAGTTGGGGTTATATAAAAAAAATTGTGAGCTAAATAAAATACTCATACTAGAAACTATATACACTTTTCAAAACAAAAATAATCTAAAATGTGTACATATATTTTAACTGTGGGTGTAATTCGCGCTATAAATGAATCTCTTGAAGGTATTTTTTTTTAAATTTACAATATTAGCTGAGTTATTAATATTTTTAAAACGAAACAGCAATATTTACCGCTGAACCGAACCTGTTTGTTCCTTTTACCGCAAATTCCACGTAATTTGCGCAGTCTCAGCTACACACTCTCCGCAGGTGAATCTTCACTCGCTCAACCATCATAGCGCTCTTTGGTATGAAAATGGCGCACAATTAAAATCCTGCGTTACTTTTTGGACACCCATACATATCCATCGATGAATTGCAACTTTGCCAAGTCCAGCGGTTCCCAACAAGTTTACTGTTAAAAAAATAATTAATATTCATTTTAAATTTAATTTGTTTTATTCCCAGTTTTTTTTCGCAAAAAGAGTATTAATTACATACAGGGGTGGAACACCTAAGAGGGATTCTTCTGTAACTCTGCAACTGTAAAATTTATAAAAAAAATGGTTTTAATAAAAGTTGCCTGGAATCGTGTGGGCCATGTAAGGAAAATATTTTTAGCTTTACAGGATGTTCCATTTCGCGTGGGTGCTACATAACTTTGTTATTTTAAAGGAACACCCTGTATATTATTATTAAAAAAAAGTTTCAAATCGTAAGATTATTAAATGTAGGTCTCAGTATTTTCAAGTCTAAATAACGTACACGTTTTGCTCACAGGTGCTAAGATAAAGTAATTTAAACACCCTGTATATTACAGTATATTTATACTGTAACAATTCGTCCTCGTATAGTTCTAACACGTTTTATCATTTTTTTTTCTTGCTTTATGCCTGCTACTAACACTTTTCTAACGCAGCAACCGCTTTGCGACCGCTTCCAATGCATCTTACCAAAACGCTAACCATTCGGTGATTTCCAGTGTGATATGTGGGCTGAGCGGTTCGTTTTACATTTGGTGCAAACAGTGCTTCAGCCAGTGGTACAACCGCACCAAATTTATCAACAAAATACAGAAATTCAAGTAAGTATACGCCCTCCTTTGACGTACATTTCGAAATTACCCAGTCCCGCACTTCTCCCGCACAAACCAAAGAATTATGTTCCAGCCGCTTCATCTGTCCCGGTTTCATTGTTCTGCTGGTATCGACGGTCACCTGGCCTCCGGGCATTGGCCAGTTCATGGCGGCCCAGATCGCTCCCGGGACCCAAGTCATCGAGCTGTTCAGCAACTTCACCTGGACCAAAGAGAACCTGACGGTCACCCAGACGCAGGTCGTCTCCCATTGGTCCACGGAGTGGTCCGGGATTTATACCAGTCTGGTGGTGTACATTTGTTACCAGGTGGGCACCGCGTATGAATATCGTCGTATACTCCAGGTCCAAAATAGTAGGCGGTGGTTAGAACTGTTTAATTTGAAACAACAAACTTTGGTTTGTGCTACATCTTTATATTGCGCAGATTAGAAGTCGATCAGCTTTAATTTTACATTAACATCATGTTCTTATTTTTCTTTCAACCATTCCATGATTTGCTCCTTTTCTATATGCAGATATTGGCGGCAATTTTTCTATTCATTGACTATGGTAAGGCTCATTATCTATGACAATCGTTGCACCAGTTTCGACGTGAGGCAAAATGGATGGGGACTATTTTCAAATGCCGCGCTGTCTATATCCTCATGGTAATCTTATTTCGTCGTGACTTGAACACATGCAAGTCATTATACAAAAATCTACATTCAGTTCCGATACTTGTAATTATTAATCAACATCCTTTCCCATAGAAAATTATTCTAAAATCTTTTTTTAGGCCTACTGTTGATATATCAATCTTCCCAATACTTGAAGATCATTCTTCACTTATCCATAGGCGGGATTTCGCCCAAATCATTGAGGGGGCAAATATCTCTCGGAAAATTTTACACCAAAAAGAAAAACCCAGAGAGATTGCAAATTCCCGCCTATCTGCTGTTTAACTACGATCTGTTGTGCGTTTTCCTATGAGACGTAGACCAGAAGTAACTTTAATGGAATAATTTTTACTATTTAGAACTTTTTCCTACGTTTTACCCATAGGAAAATCTAACCTGACCTAACCTAGTCTCTATAGACACTATTGATAAACATTCTGACATATACTTTTTCTTAAGACACTGGTTATTTCCACAGCATTACTCACCTATACATCTGAGTTTTGTGTTCGTCGAATGCTCTTGACTGTCGATCCCATTGGCACGCTTATGACACGTATTAACACGCCTCAGCTGGGAACTGAGGCGGGACAGGATTTCAAAAAGTCCAACCATGCAGCTTCAGTCGTCTTTCTTTTTGTAAAGATAGGCTCTTGTAACAATAGAACGTTCCCAGTAAACTTCACATTAAAGTTTACATGCAGAGAATACACAAAATTATTTTATCGGATTGAGAAGTAGCAAAAATTGAGATTTGAATTATTTATGGGTTACTGCTTATTATTTTGGGCCTGGAGTATAAACTTGTCTGCAAAATTTACATCATTTCACACTTTTGTTACCATTTTCAAATAAATGCAGACTGAACAAGGCCTAAGGAGTCCAAGACCTAACATGACGCCATATTGTTGGCGCCCAACATTAAACGTCGCCAACTTATCTGTTCCCAATACGAAATAACAAACATTTATTGACTAATTATTATTTTTAGTTCATATTTTCGATACTAGCGTCGTCCATGCCCATCCCATGTGGTAGCTTCATCCCCGTGTTCAGGGCGGGGGCAGCGCTTGGAAGAATTGCAGGAGAACTGATGCACCTCTGGTTCCCTCTAGGCAAGTCACAATGACACACGATTTTTCCTTAATACTCGATCTACACTTTCAGGTGTGCGGTATAAGGGAGTAATCACACAGATCATGCCAGGTGCGTACGCCACGGTGGGGGCGGCGTCGTTCGCTGGGGCGGTCACCCACACCATGTCGGTCTGCGTGATATTGTTCGAAATGACGTCCCAGATCACGCACGTTATACCCGTACTAATATCAGTGCTCATATCAAACGGGATAGCCAGGGTGCTGACTCCCAGCATATACGACTTGGTAATCATCTCCAACAAGTTGCCGTATCTGCCGGATCTGCTGCCCAGCACGAGCGGTGAGTGGTTGCTTGGTATTTAGGTCAAAGGTTGGTTCACTGCCGACTGTTTGCAGCCATTTACGAGGTCTACGTGGAAGATTTTATGGTTAAAAACGTGAAGTTTGCCTTCCTGGGCATGACCTACGCCGAACTGAAGAATCTCCTCCTGACCAACCGAAAGCATAAGGTGTTTCCTTTGGTGGATCATCCTCAGAACATGACGCTGTTGGGTTCCGTGCCCAGGGAGGAACTGGTATGGTTGATAGACAGGAAAATAGGTATTGCCAGGCGTAGACAAGTGTTACCGAGTCCGTCTATTGGAATACACAAGGAAGAGGAAGACAAAGACAAAGAAGCAGGCCCTTCAACGAAGACGAAAGAAAGTATTGCTCATATCGATGATTCTAGCGACTCTGAATTTGAGGAAAAGAAGAAAAAGGTGAGGTTATAGGAATGCGGATTGTTGGTGGCAATGTTGATCTCTTGTGTGTGCATTTTTTGCAGTCGAAACGCGAGCTAATATTCGAAAAGTGGGGGATTGACAGGAAAAAGCCATCGACGTCACCAAAGTCTCCAATGTCAGGAGGGAAAAGTGCATCTACCACTCATCTGGAAGTGGTGAGTACATTCCACTTCAAACTTCAAACACATCAAAATCCTTTCCTTCCTTTAGTAATCCGGCCTCTCTTCCACCCCTTTTAATATTTTTTTTCACTGTCGTTCGAGGAAGTAACAGTTTCCCGATTTCAGTCCGTCATCCGCGTTTGCGACTTACCAATGGAAAAGCAGATGGAGTGGGAGGACCAACAGATGAAGGACCAAGTGGACTTTGCCACTGTCAGAATAGACCCAGCGCCCTTCCAACTGGTAGAAAGGACCTCCTTGCTGAAGGTCCATTCCATATTTTCCATGTTGGCTATAAATTTCGCGTACGTCACTTCCATAGGAAAGTTGGTGGGGGTGGTTACTCTCGAGGAATTGAGGAAAGCCATCGAAGAAGCCAACAGCGGCAAGCCGCCGAAGAAGCCGCTGAGGGCGCCCGCTTCGCCGCTGCCCATGCTCGCGCAAACGCCAATTTTGGCGAGAACGACATCCATGGATCCCGGGGGCGGACCGGCTTGATCGAATAAACAAAAAATTACCGTATGGCCTCTTAATTACCTCAAAAAAATTGCGTGTTCCAGTCTATGCCGTCTATCGTACTATAATTAGTGTTAAGGTTGCTTTGTAGGGAATAATATACATACGGGGTATCCTTGAAGTAAAATATCCATCTTAGTTATTTGCTTATTTTGAGTAGAAATTGTCATTTTTTTTAAATAACTCACTTTTAAAGATATTTTATGGAAATTTGATGCAGAGAATTTGAATATGAGCTTATTTTTAAATCAAAAGGTTTCTAAGACCACATTAAACTGTTTTTTTTGTTTATTTGCAATATTTTTTGTCGATACAAATTTTAAAAATGTATAGTGTTTTCTTGAACTGTAATTTTTCGTTAAAATGTACCGTTTCAGAGAAAAATGGATTTAATATTTTTACAGTCATCAGTTTTCAGTCATCTTAGCGATTTCTATGTTTTAGGTAAAAAATAAGTTCATATTCATATCCAGCCACTTCAAAAACTTTTCCATTTCAAATCTCATTGAAATATCTTTAAAACTCAAGGAGTTATCTTAAAAAAATTAACTAAGAAAAAGTTCGTTGGAGGTCAATAACTTTTTAAAGAAGCAACGGACTGTACTCAGATAACTTGATTTAAATTGGATTATTTTCAAATGAGCCTTGAAATACGGTCCATTCGCTTCCGGACACCCTGTATAAGTCTTAAACTGCAACGTTTCCGTCCAATATTGTGATCTTTTTCTTAAATACTCTTGTCTTTTTCACTTTTATAACTTTTATTAGGAAATAGGAACAAAGCCTTTCGTATGACACAAGCTAGAAGTCTATTTTAGTTATATTTTATCTATTTATTTCATTTCACAAGTTGAAAAATCTATAATTCTCAAAACGTACTATTTTACTGTATAAAACTAGAAATAAATCTTTTTTTGAAGCTATGCATTGAATTTTATTGGTTAATAAAGTGCCAGAGTCGATTTTCTTACATAACCCCATTTTTTTTAGTTTATTTCAGCAAACACAACGCCAACTTTTGTTATATTGTTGTGTAACCAACCAACGAATCTGTAAGTAAATTGTTCTCACGTGACGTCTTATTTTCCCATCAGTGCCCTCTTACATTACATTACGGAACGTTTGATAAATGTGCAAACGAGCGTTTGGAGACCGAACGTTTCCAAAAACATGCGTTTTTGGAAACGTTCCTATAATTTTGCCAATTTCCTGTCATTAATTTAGCAATTTTTAATGTTTTCGATATCTACTAAATCCTATTAAAGTTTTTGCCTGTAATTTTATATAAAAATCTAATAAAACAACAATATTTTACACCATTCTTTAATTTTATGGAAACAAGCGTTTGGTGATTTGCTATTTTTCCATAAGTTGCTTCCTATTGGTCTATCAACTTTGGTGGCTAACTTCAGAACACTCGATTTGTTTACTTCAAAAACATTTGAATATTAGCGTCCGCTTCCTTTTTTGTGACAATAAACAACAAAATGGTGTTTTTCCTCTGTATTTATATTGTTAGTTACGTTAATTGTTAAGTGCTGTGAAAAGTGATATGTAAAATACATGGGTAAGTTAAACACAGCATGAATTTTGCACGGTTTTATTTTACAAATGCTACAGCTTGGGTTGATACAGGTTTCTTGATATTAAAAACTGGAACACAAATAGCATTATACAAATATATATTTTAACACTATTTCTACAACATACCTCAGCATTTATTACCGTTTAATAGAAGAAATATAACTGGTATACTGCTTTGATTACTAATAACTCTTTTTCCGGAGATTGCGTAAACTTTTGGCGTAATGGTGCAATGTACACGTTTAGTATTGTCGGCATTATTGTGTGGAATGTTTGGAAGGATCAAAATCTTTGTTAGGATTACACTTAAGTGTTTTTTCCATTAAAGAAAAAGATATTTAGCTTTGGTAAAATAGTGTGGTTAGAAAGCAAAACCGTATCGAGATAAATTTAAGAGTTATTAGTTATCGAGGTCAGAGATCTTTCAAATTTGGGAGCGTTGTCAACGTTAATACCTTTAATAGAAGTTTCACATATACAACAGAAAATAAATAACTTTCTCTAGAAAACATAAACATCTTTCATGATAAACGAACTTGTAGTTACCGATAAACTTAAAAAAGAGCCACGGGTGTCCATTCGCCACGGTAATTTTCTTAAACAACGAACAAGCCGCCATCCTTAATCCCAATAAACAATCGACAGATCAACGTATCACAGAAACAAAAAAAAATCGTAAACTATTCCGTTGGTTGCGTGGCGTAGCATTTCGCTTCTTTTATCGCGGCGCTGATATCCTGCACCACCTCGGAGATGCTCACCTCGCTCCGACAATCCACGTCCTCCATCCCGACCCCGTGATGCGCCTTCTTGAGGTGCAGCTTCATCTGATACGGCGACACGCACTTGTAGCTGCAGAACTCGCAGCCCTGCGGCGTGGGGTTGTGGATGAACACGTGCTTCCTGAAGTTGCTCCTGTCCCTCGTCGAGTACGAGCAGAACTGGCACTGCAACGGCGCGTTGTCCGTGTGCTTGAGCATGTGTTTCTTGAGGTGGTACTCGGTGGTGCAGCGGTACGAGCACATCTGGCACATGAGGTCGTTCCCGAGTCGCTCGGGGTGCACGTTACGTTTGTGTCTGCGGAGACACGACGAGTCGGTGCTGCGGTACGGGCAGCTGTCGCAGATGTACCATACGGACTTGGTGTGCATCGTGTTTATGTGTTTGTTGAGAGCATATTGGCGGTTGGTCACGTGGGAGCAGTGCGGGCACTTCTTCTCGGTCAATTCGGAGCCGCATACGTTCTTGTGAATCACGTAGGAATCCAGGTGGGTGGTGACGAAGGTGCAGTTCGAACACTGGTAGAGTTCGTTGTCGTCCTGCGGTTGGTAGGCGTCGAAGGGGTCGGTTTCGGGCGGAGGCCTGGGGACGAAAAAAAGAAGCTTGTATTTTGTTATAACGTTTGATATGATTTCTCACAAGTAATACTTATACAGGGTGGCCAAATGAAAACGATACAGAGCCATTTTCAGGAACTACGTCAAGATTGTAGAAAAACGCTCAGACCCGTCGATTTTAGATTAAAGGGGGACATTCTTTGCTGGTATTTTTGACTCCGCCACTTTCATCCCCAAACAAGGGTAAGCACCACCCCAAAATATTTAAATGGCATTGGGGGTTGAGTAATATTTCTTTTGAAAGCTCTTACAATTCTTTTTACAACATACTTTAAATTTTATAATTCCGCCCAATACTTTGAAAAAATTTACATTTTAAAATTTAAATTATGTTTAGTTGCTTACTTACTACTTAATTGATTAAATGTTCAAACTGATGATCGCCCGCTTCCATACAAGAATAAATATTTTGTTCAAAACGTTTGCGCACATTCCGAAGTATTTCCGGAGTGATTCGATGGCATTCGCCGACGATTCTTTGACACAAATCTTCCAGCGACGCTGTCTGTGTTTTATAGATTTTACTTTTTAGGTATCCCCACACAAATAAATCAAGGGGTGATAAATCCGATAATTGTGGAGGCCACTCAATGCTGCCTCTTCTCCCAATCCAATTCCGTAGAAAACGTTGGTCCAAATACTGACGGACAATTAACGCATAATGCGGAAGAGCACCGTCCTGTTGAAAAATCAAATGATCTTCATCATACTCTCGAACATTTTCAATAATATCAGTCAAGGCAGGGTCAATAGCGTCTTCTAGTAATTGGAAATATATTTGGCCAGTCAAATTATCAGGTAGAAAAAAAGGAACCACCAGCCGGTCACCGAAAATTCCAGCCCATACATTTAATTTTTCCGGTTGCTGTGTATGCACCTCGTGAAAAACTGTTGGGTTTGAATCGGACCAATAGCGGTAATTGTGACGATTTACCTTCCCGTTCAAGAAAAAACTGTATTCATCAGAAAAACAGATGTTAAAAAGGAACTGTGTATCGTTCCCTGCTTGCTCACTCATTATTTCACAAAATTACAAACGGCGGTCATAATGATCCTCATGAAGTTCCTGGACTAAATGTATTTTGTATGGATGGAATTTATTCTTCTTCAAAATGGTTTATATGCTAGTTCGATTGATCCCAGACACAGATGCCAGCTGCCTCATACTTAATGTAGGATCAAGATGAACTTGTCCCAAAACTGCAACTTCACTAGCTTCATTAACTATAGGTTTTTCAATTTCTCGTTTTGTATTGGCTACGTTCCCTGCCTCTTGAAATTTTGTTAGTAACTCTAGAACATACTTCCTCCTGACATGTCGATCTTGATGTTCATTAAATAGCTGAGCTGTTCTATTCGCACATTTATTGTTCATAAAGTAAAGCGAAATGATATCTACCCTTTCCGCAATAGAATAAACCATAGTGTAATTTTCAAAAACACAATTAAATAAACTACCAACCAACGTTTCCAAATAATACTAGAAAATAATTTGGAATCAACTAATTTTACATTCATTGCGTGTATAGCATTAATTTCTGTTTTTTACAATTGTGTTTTTTTTACGAAAGTGATAACAAATCGCCAAAAACCAATGTAACGCAAGAAATACTAAATTTATACCATTGGCGTACTTACTTAACTCGAATGACTGACATTTTTACCGTTACTAACTGTTTGTACATAAGTTTCACTTTAAAATAAAAATTCTTAATAAGTATTGGGCGGAATTATAAAATTTAAAGTCTGTTGTAAAGAGAATTGAAAGAGCTTTCAAGAGAAATATTACTCAACCCCCAATTGCATTTGAATATTTTGGGGGTGAAAGTGGCGGAGTCAAAAATACCAACAAAGAATGTCCCCCTTTAATCTAAAATCGACGGGTCTGAGCATTTTTCTACAATCTTGACGCAGTTCCTGAAAATGGTTGTTTCGTTTTCATTTGGCCACCCTGTATATTAAATGTATCGCTAAAATGGGTGTACTTCGTATAAACTAGTAATTTGACAATTCTTGAATACTTGTATTAATTTAGTAATTTATTTAATTTTGGCGCAAAACTAGTTGTGACAAATATAGGTGTTTGAGACTTTATTATTTGGTTTTCTTTTAGACATACAGTGTTTCTGAAATAAGTATGTTAAAAAGGATGATAGAGGGCATAGAAACGTGCACCATTTATTAAGCAACGGATGGTCTAAATGCTACTCTTTTCGAGAAAACTAAATAAGAATTAAATTAACATAAATGTAAGTGGACCCTGTGCATCTTGTGCACGTGCGTTGCGTGTTGCAGTATTACTTAGTCGGCATATAAAATGTTTTTTGATCAAGAATTAGCAGATATGGTGTTAATGTACGTAGAATGTCAGTACAATTTAAATGAAACTTGTCGTTTTGCGAATCTGCATGTATGCGGACTAATTTTAATTGACGTGAAGCATGTTTATTAGCGCTTGGAAACAACTCTGAACAAATGGTAAGTAATTTGTTTATTCCTTTAATTTTTGTGTTAAATTTTAAATGTCAAACCCATCAAAAACACTCTGTATGAGCCTCAAGTAGCCTCATTTTTCTGTAACAACTTGACAATTTCAAATACAAAAATTAAGGGAACCAAGAGTAACGTTTCAAATCAAATTAAATGACGAAAAAAATACTAACATTTCTGTCCCGTTGACTTCTACGTCCATCTTTTCATTTTCCTTCTCGTTTAAATTCTCATTTTTATTTTGGGGAATAGTTATTTTATTCTTACATATCCTTATTATAAGTCTTGGTCTGTTTTCTGTTATGGGGCCTTTTTCCACTTCAGATTTCGAAGCAAAACTGCCCGTAACATTATCTTGAGATGTGTCAGTTTTGGTAGTATCGTCAGTACTTTCTTCAGGTTGTGCTGTCGTTGATTCTTTGTCTTGTTTCTCCCTCTCCTTCCCCTCTAAATCGTTACTTGATGCATTTTGATTTTCTACTTCACTACAATGAAGATTTTGAACAACTGAATCTATAGGTTTTTGATAGTTCTGTGCGTTTAGATTTTCTAATCCTTCATTTGATGTGTCATAGTTTGGAACAATTTCATCTCTCGTTACGTTTCTAGATTCCAACGTGCCGTCTTGATTTCTTAATAGTACCGAATTTATTGGTAGGCCATGCATCACCCCTCTGTGTTCCTCCACGTCTCGATGTCTAGGAACAAACTGATTTTCTGCTACAATTTGACTTCCGTTCACGTTTACGTTCACACCCTGAACGTTCGGTTCTATTACGCGGCCCCCTGGTACACTCTCATGATCCATAGGCACTGCCTGACCTTCCGACGGCCTAAGCTGACATCCGGGTATGCCCTGAGGCGGCCCACACGGGACTCTCGGCATGCCGTTCGCATTTTGAGGACAATTCTCCATGTTCGGTTTGTCGCCGTCGATTTTTCTATGTTGGACGTCTCTGAAATAATTGTTTAACCTGATAAGTTCCTGGACGACGCAACTTAGGCTTACGTGGTTGTATTCTGAGAGATTATGCCTCTGTATGTAGGAACGGATGATCGTTTCCGTGTTGAGGCATCTCGTCTTGAAGTTGTAGACGGTTACCAGCAGTTGTATGCAGGGAAAGCACATGATGGGGTTCGAGGATACGTATGTGTCCTGAAAAAAAAAAGAGGTAAATTTTACAAGGTGGTTTATATCAGTAGGCAAAAATATAAGGGTAGGTTTCGGAATGCAATTTTAAGCAAAGACGAGAGACCACTTTTATGAGTTGGGCTTTGTTTTGCAGATATCAAGGTTGATAGCACAAGAAAAGGCATTATTTTATATAAAAGGTTATGGTCGAATAATAATGTTTTCTATCTCTTTTTCATTGTTTATTTCTTCTGAGTAAACTATTTTTTTGTGATCCTGGAAATAATAATCCAGTGGATTAAGATGTGGTGTTTTAGCAGGCCACTCGAATGGGCAGTGTCTTTCTATCCACCTTCCATTAAAATACAGCTTTTGCAGCATGTGCCGGTGCGGGTTATTCAATAATTGTAGATATGAGATGGCATTTAAAGAATTTGTATTGGTAATAGACGATTTTTGGAAATATCATACCATGCTTAATAGAAAATCTTTGTGCCTCCTAAATGTGTGAAGATTTTGTATTGACCATACTAGTTATGAATTCAATTTCTGGTAAAAGTAGCTTTGTCAGACTACACAATGGAACTATAAAAAATTGGAATTTTGTTCTCAACATTTCTCTGTGGGAAGTACTCCAAGTGAAGTTTTGAGAAGCTTGTAGGACTGCAGCAATTCTTATACTCTTCGTTGCTGAAGTGAATTAAAATTTGTACCTTTTTGCGGTAATAACTAAAACTGAATCAAAAACTGGTAAATAATAATTATTAATTATCTGCCTATCATATAAAAAATGTGTTTTCTTTTGTATAACCCTTATGTTGATTAAATGATTTTGTTTACATGACCCACTGTTACTTTTTTTTGTAATTTTTCTTTGAAATATATCACATCTGAAGAATGAAGTATGGTAGGATTGTATTTCGTCTTTTTTACATAAAATTCCTCCTGGCATAAATCACCCTGTGTGTCACATAATAATAGCCATCCCTTTTTTCACACAAGTGCATGGCATTTATAGTTGATGAACTGACAGTTATAAAACAAAATAAACAATTTCTAAATAAAATTTAATAAAAATTAAAAAAATATATTTTTATATTTATATTTTTATAGCTTTTAAACATACTCTGTTTATTTTCTTTTGCAAATTATCAAAGTTTCTTACTGGAAATGGAAATAAATCATGCCAACATTATTTTCAAGTTTAAAAAAAATAATTAATAATGTTGTAGACATTAAAAGTGATGAATAATTTTGAATCTTGCAAGCATATCTTAAAAGATTATTGAAAATAATGAAAAAAATATGAGGAGTTTGATTAAAATTTAAAAATACATTTTTTTATCAAATTGATGTTATGCATATTTAAAATTGAGGTAGTGGCATAATAGTGTTTTCTTTTTTTTTTCAAATGAAAGTAAAATGTAAGTATATACTAACCGTTCTTGCAGAGTATATTTTGTCATAGCGGTGGCACCGGTACAAATAAATTGAGGGTATTAGAAAAAAATTAATCGCATCTTACACAAGGCTATAAACATAAAAAGCGACATGCGGATCTAAAAAAATGCTTAGTGCAATGTTTATTTACCATCTCTGGCACGCAACACATTATCATATCTTTCAGGTTCCCATTGGCATCCTCAATGAACCCAAAACTTTGGGTTTTGTTCTCCACGATCCTGAGGCATGCCCTGCAGATGAGAGGATGACCCGCGAACCCGTCCATTTTTTTTTAAACGCAACTGAACTGGCAAAGGCGAGGTCAGAGGGGCTCTGACAGTTTGTTGGCGTTTGGCCTAACCTAAGTTTTTTACTGCGAAGTAAACAAACGCCATACCCGCGAGCGTTCTATTTATTGGCACGGTTTTCGAGTTTTAAACGTCATTTTTTAACGCAGACTTCACAGACCGGGCGAATTTGTTGGGTGTCAGTATATCTGCTTTGCAAAAAATTCACTTTTTGATGGAAAACGCAGCGTACGCCATCTCTCGGTGATTGTACGACTGTAGTCACAAAATATAATAGAACTTTAGTCGTCGGAATCAAGTCAACCGTGGATTCTAAATTATCGATGTTACGATGTACGAGGGTCGTACTAAAAGTTGTGCTTGAGTCAATTTTGTAGCAGATGTAATAGATGCAACAAATTTCAACAATTTTTGTAACAATTGTAAAAACAGATATATTCGTACTATCGTCGTCGGAATTCTATTGCAGTGGTGCCACCCGTTCAGAATTTTTTTCACGAAATAAACAATATTTTTAACAATTTCCTAATTAACTGGAAATATCGGAACTAGATATAAAGGCATTCCTCCGCTCAGAGATCCAAAGAAGAATGCCTTTTCTTAGGTTCTTTAATTACTTTTAGATAGACTGTACTTATGCTCTATGGCCCACAAATAACAGAACACTTTTTAATTACCAGAACACTGTTGTAACTTTTTGATTGGCGCTTGTTCAAAAGCGGCAAATTACAAATTTCTTTACAACAAAAAGTAATTCGAGTTTCAAGCTAACTCCATTTTATAAAAATAGTTCAATCAATCTGTCGCGGCCTAATGTTAAATTTACAGAAAATACCACCTGGAAAAAAATGTGGTGATATAGGAAAAAAAAATTCTAAGAAAGATAGTGTTTTTTTTCCTGTGGTGCATAAACGGCGAAGTTAACCTAAAAAATTCATAAAAGTAAAAAAAACGGTTTCTCGCTTATAAAAAAACTTGAACTCAAATCGAAATAAGTTAAATAAGAAATAAAATAAGAATGTTGTAGCTATTAAAACAACCTATCAATTCATATTTTTAAATATATCAATTGCTATATTACTCGAGATATATCGAAAAATCCGTCAAAAATCGACTTTTTTTGTTATTGCTGTATCTCTTGCAAATTAAGGTTTTGAAACTTGTTACCTGCTGTAAATGTAGCTCTCTGCAAGCAAAAAAAGTGCCTTTTTTTAAATTAAAAAATGTTAAAAATGTTTCGAGTTATGTCGATTTTTCGAAAAAAAGCTCATCTCGAAAATCGGCTCTTCTTGCTCGACGAATAGTCGTAGAGAAACGAATCGGGGCTCATTTTTTCCCTTCATTTCTCGATAATGTCTGTTACAGGAATCGATTGCGGGCATTTTTAGGCGAATTTAAAAAATAAACGTTGCTCTACGACCTTCTGGAGCAGATAAAGCGTCAAAAAATATTGATTACGAGTAGATCAAAAGTAGAAGAAGTTTATTTATGACTTTTGAATTAAACATTGATAAACTGCATTATTATTACCAGAACGTTTTGGCATCGCATTGTCTCATTCATTTTTTTCATGGTAGATTTCATAATAATACATTGAAATCCATCATTTTTTTTTTTATTTCAAATTTGCAACCTGGAAATTTGTTTTATTTTTTAGCCTTAATTGCAAAATGATATATTTGACAGTCTGTAACTCCGTTGTTTTTCAACAAATCTTGACGATTTTTTTTAACTTAAAGCTCTTTGCATAAGTTTTCCGAATATGTAATAATATATAACTATATCACGCTCGTGCGTCGTATATTTCATTTTGCAACTAAGGCTAAAAAAAAGGTCCAGGTTGCTAATTTGAAATTTAAAAATAAATTATAGATTTCAATGTATCATTATGAAATCTACCATGAAAAAAATCAGTGCGATTGTGGAAGATCCTTGGGATCGTCCAGACTAATAATTAGTTAATTTGTTTATAAGGCCATAACGTGTAAACTATTCAACTTACCTATTCCAGATTTCGTGTGAGTTATTAGACAGTGATAAGGAATGAGAGGATGCGATGCCAAAACGTTCTGGTAATAATAACGCAGTTTATAAATGTTTAATTCAAATGTCATAAATAAACGTCTTCTGTTTATAACTTTTGATCTAATCTATATTTTTTGACGCTCGAAGGCTAGTTTTGTAGGTCTCTTGAAGACGAAAAAAAGTACTTTACTGTTTTCTCGTGGAAATAAACGGAAAAAAGTTATTAGCGAAAAACGTGAATTTACAAAAAATTATAGAATTAACCACCCTGTAAACAATCTTCCCCACATTTTTATCACTGTGGAAACTAATATGTTATTGTATTTTGCGTCTATAGTGATAAATTCAACTTGCCGAAACAAAAAGTCGCGAAATAGTCATTTCCCACCTTATTTTCCTGGCCTATATGTCGACTTCGATTGGAGTTAAAGTTTTTTTTTTATTAACGAAAAACCGTTTTTTTTATTTTTATGGATTTTTTAGGTTAAAACACGCTAACTTAGAATTTTTTTCCTATATCACCATATTTTTTGTTTCTAGGTGGTATTTTTTGTAAGCTCTTCTACTTGTTTCATATTAATTATTGATATTTAGACAAACTGTGTAATAAAAATCTATAAAAATGTATTGCTGGTTGCCTATTTGGCGATTTTGGGTAGTTTAAGTTTAAAAATTTAGGCCAAGCAATGAATCTAAACTTTATAAGTATCTATTAACAAAAAATTACTGTTATTGATTTAGTTTAACCGACCTTGAAAAAAAGACCACTCGATTTTACCCATCCCCTTTCCCGAAACAAACTCGGCGTCAACTTTAAATTTATTTAATAAAAACCTGGTAAAAAACAGATATAAATACGTAAAAATAAAACTCTGTTTTTCAATGGCGCGCGTCGTTGCCCTCATCGCTGGACGTCTCTTCCTCCGTGTCCGTCTGCATGTGATCGTCCTCCACCTTCGTCTCTCTCAGGACCGTCATCATCTGCGGGGTGTACTGCTCTATCTTCTCCAACAGGCTTTCAGGGTAACCTGGAGAGTAGAACCGCACTATTTCCTCTGGGAAGCAGGAGTTGATGACGCTGATGTATTCGAACAGCGTGGTGCCCGGCTTGGCGTCCATCTCCTGAACCTTCTTCAGACTGCCGCTGGTCACGAAGAGGCGGCGGGCTTTCGGGTCTTGCGGCAACACCTGGAAAAGATCAGTGCATCGCAATATGAAATCTTGACGCGTGCGTCTTTAGTTTTTATCTACTGGATCCTCATAAAAAGCAGTAAACAAGATTAATATGTTTTAAAGCGTTATTAGTATCCTCGTGGAAAAAGAAATGCGCACGGTTATGTACACAGGGTCAGTCAGTTTTTTGTAGACAAACTTTAACAGGATATAGAACACATATTGTTAAAAAGAAAAGTTCCTATAAACATATGTCGTAGAAGCCTTCGTTTTCGAGATACAGAGTGTTGAATATAATTTTTTTTTCTCGAATTTTCATTATAATGGGTAACTTATAAACGAATGCTTAGATTTTTTTCATGTTTGGGAGATAATGCCTATTAATTAAGGGGCATAAAACAAGCGATAAGAATGCTCAAAAACTTGCACAGTGGCGGAGTGGAGGGGGTGCTTAACCCCTTTCTTAAACAGAACTTCTACGCCAATGACTATTTTTTAAAAAAACTTATTTTCATTATCTACATACAGTTTTACAAAAATAATGTCCCTTCTTCTGTTTCGAAATTCCTGTGCGTTTCTGAGTTATTTTGATTTTTAGTGTTTGATGTGGTACTAAATGAATTTATTTATTATCAATTATAGGCTAAATATTTAATTCTTTCATACGAAACCTACCTAAATATGGTTTGTTAAGAATTCTAAAAAGCCGAAATCTCTTATTCTTTATCTCTTTCCAATGTAGTCAAAATAAATATTTGTTATATCAAGCCATACTCAAATACAAGACTTTTATAAGTTGAAATCTGTTTAGTACACTAATTTTAACAATCCATTTTTATTATGTGCTGCGTAAATACTAATGTACTGCAACTAAATTACAAAACATTGAATGAACATTGATGTTAATGTTTATGCACAAATTTTTTGAATTTATAACAATATTTAATTAACTTCTTAAAACTTTTTGGCAATACAGGGTGTCTCATAATTAGCTGCCAACCCTGAACAGGCCGATTCTATGATCAAAACTAAGTAAAAAAGTTCATATGAACATGGGTCCGGAAATGCTTCCTAAGGGCACAGGGACCCATTGAAGAGGGAGGAATGGAAATCATTTTTTTGCAATATCTCTCAATCGCGTTGTGATAAATGAATGAAATTTGGTATACACAGCTAAATTTTGATGAGCAATTTGATGGACTAATCCATTTATTTCCACAAGGTCCATTGGGGTGGGTACGGGGGGGCCCTTGGTACTTTGCGTGTGTAACTTTTTCATCTTTGACTTTTTAACAAATTGGACAGCAAATTCCGTTTTCCCGAACTGTTTTACGTTAAAAAGGTACTCTTGTTTCAAATCGTTATCTTTAACGGTTTCTGAGAAAATCGCTCTTGAATTAATCCCACTTTGGTCAATTTCATAGTAATTTAAACAAAAAAAATTTTTTTGTTTAAATTTAATCTAATTTTAATAAAAAAATAATAATAAAAAATTAAATTAAATAAAAATTAATCCTTTAAATGGAAAAGAGAGGAAAGGAAAATTATTATTATTTTTTTTTGTTTAAATTACTATGAAATTGACCAAAGTGGGATTAATTCAAGAGCGATTTTCTCAGAAACCGTTAAAGATAACGATTTGAAACAAGAGTACCTTTTTAACGTAAAACAGTTCGGGAAAACGGAATTTGCTGTCCAATTTGTTAAAAAGTCAAAGATGAAAAAGTTACACACGCAAAGTACCAAGGGCCCCCCCGTACCCACCCCAATGGACCTTGTGGAAATAAATGGATTAGTCCATCAAATTGCTCATCAAAATTTAGCTGTGTATACCAAATTTCATTCATTTATCACAACGCGATTGAGAGATATTGCAAAAAAATGATTTCCATTCCTCCCTCTTCAATGGGTCCCTGTGCCCTTAGGAAGCATTTCCGGACCCATGTTCATATGAACTTTTTTACTTAGTTTTGATCATAGAATCGGCCTGTTCAGGGTTGGCAGCTAATTATGAGACACCCTGTATAATGTATTGTATGTATGTAATGTAACAGATCTTATCGCTTGTTTTCTGCCCCTTAATTAATAGGCATTATCTCCCAAACATGAAAAAATCTAAGCATTCCTTTATAAGTTATAACGAAAATTCGAGAAAAACAAATTATATTCAACACCCTCTATCTCGGAAACGAAGCTTTCTACAACATATGTTTATAGGACCTTTTCTTTTTAAAAACATGTGTTCTATCACCTATTAAAGTTTGTCTACAAAAAACTAACTCACCCTGTAGAATGAGATAGGCATACAAGGTGTCCCACCACGAACTCCATCGATGGATATCTGGGAAACGCTAGAAGGATTTTTTTGAAATTGTGTTAATGTGATACGGACCGTGGGGCCTACCAAACTAAAATATTTTCAAGGTCATCGTACTTCCGGTTATACCGGACGTCGAAACTAACTTTCTTATTTTAAATGGAACCCCCTGTATATTATTGCATTTTTGGAAAGAGCATCTATTTTTAAGTTGAAAACATATAGCACACTCCATACTTAAGATTGACCGTTTCCGAGATATTTTGATTTTTAAGCAAAAATTGACAGATGTAGACTGTCAGCAAAATTTAGTTTTCCCGGAAACAAAGATTTATTTTTTTGCGCAAATTGGACATTTTGTAGAGGAAGACCTAATTTATCGAATTTGATATGAATATTTTCCACTTTTTATACAGGGTGGTCAAAAAAAAATATCGAATATGAAGTTCAGAAATTGTGAAAAACTCGAAATTAAATGGAAACTCCTATTTTTTTTAACGTATTCGCATTCTGCACTAAAATTAAGAAACTCTCTGCACTCTGTATAGGGTGTCCCGAAATTAGGGGGCAATATTTCTACAGAAAAGATTACTTTTTCTTTATATAAAAGTTGGTCCAAAAATTCTTTCTAAGGAAGTTATAGCCAACTAAACGGGCCATTCTGATGATGATTTTTTTTAAATAACTCCAGTTGAGATAAATTTATAAAATTTGGTAACTAGCTTAACTCTTACGTGCTTAATTCGCTACTAAATCGAAATTTGCAAATTTTTATCGCATACGTGTCAACAGTGGGGGAGAGAGGGGTAAAATTTACCATAACTTTTTTATGCTTTCACTCTTTTGAATTTTGACTGAAAAGTATGAAATTTTATGAGTTTTCTAGTAAAAAAAGGTACTCTTGATTCATACTGGTAGAATGTTCCATTTTTGTGTAAAATTCATTTAAAAATAATGTTACATATATTAATCACCGGGAATGGAAATTGTCAATATTTTCTATTGTATTAGGTTGTGAAGAATAAAAATGTGTTTGGCGTCATTTGCATTACTGGATTAAATTTAATTATTATCAAATCGAAAACTCTCTTTTATTGTGTTTAATGATGGTACCTTTATTTTTAACTTAAGCTGTTTACACCTTTTTTTATTTACAGTGCCACTTTATCAGTGTTATTAGTCTGGTAAATATTAACTTCTGTAATAAATTTCCTAATAAAAGAAACAATATTTGCGGCTATCGGAGCTCAGCTAAAAGCTAAAAATGAAACATATTTTTCAGAAAATGTATTTTCTTATTTTGACGGATTAAAATTATGTTATATCTAGATTGCCCTTAATTGGCGGACACTGATTTTTTAAAATTATTCTTTCCTAAATATCTAATTGAGAGATACAAAATTTGAGAAATGAAAAAACTAGATTTTCTTTAAATCTATCCAGAAAACCTTGAAATATCTTGCATTTTTTATCTTTACGTTGAGTACCAATACACTTGAATTGCACTTTCTTAGCCCTTAACTAGGAACCTTTGACTTGCCCTTGTTGTTCTCGGGCTGGGCTCTGTAGGGCTGGACTTCATTTCGGTTCTTCTTGTTGGTTTTAAGCCCGAGAACAATAAGGGCACGACAAAGATGCCTAAGCTTAGCTAATAGTTCAGTCAAATTAGATTATAAACCGTCAAAACTTGAAAAAATTATTAGTAGACATTGTATTGTACTCTAAGGCGATGAAGAGTATGTAGAACGATAATATCAAAAACTAACTCGAAAGAAGTGACGCAAATTGTGAATAAGTGGCAAAATTACGTGTTTTTTTCACTTTTTTGGTACTGCCCATGAAAATCTAGACCAGTTATCGGAAAATTAGTTGTTTTATGTTATAGGCAATTAAATTACCTACAATTTAAGGTACCTCAAGTCATATTTTACCAATTTGTGCTAAAGGCCGATTAGATTGACAGTGACATTGTTGCTCCAGGTATTTGTTAATTAATGTCGTTCGTTATTTTGCAACTAATTATTTAATTAATAAACGTTAATTTTTGAAGTTAATATGGTAGATATAGGTTCTAATAATTGATCCAAAGAAATGTATCGAAAAACAAAAAATTCAAAAAGTTGAAATTAGTTGCTTTTTACAACTAACAAAGTAGGATATGCAAAACAGCGTTATAAACAAATTGTCCCAGGGTCAGACAAAAGCCGCTCGGAAATTCGCTCTTTTTGCATTAAATAGAGCTAATTTTTACGGTAATTAAAAAAAATAAATCACTTATGCCTCTTTGTTCCCAATATAGCTTTTTTATATCGTTAATAGCTCTATTTAATGCAAAAAGAGCGAATTCCCGAGCGGCTTTTGTCTGGGACAATTTGTTTATAATGTTGTTTTACACTTCCTACTTTGATAGTTAGTGAGCTTAATCTTAACTTTTTGAAATTTTTCATTTCTGATACGTTTCTTTGGATCAATTAGTACCTATACAAGGTGTCTAGAAGTTGACGTCATCTTCGTTATTTTAAATGGAACACCCTGTATATTATTGCAATTTTGGATTCAACGTCAATTTTTAGGTGAACATTCATAAAGGTTTCCTATTTTTAAAGATAACCGTTTTTGATATATTTAATTTAAAAAAAAAAATTGAAAAGCACTGCCTAATTCAAAAAGATGTGTATTTTACAATAATAAAGTTAGA